TCTAAAATTGACATTGTATAGCGTAAACAAGTAACTTCAAATAATAAGTGAAAAGAGAAATATAGCAATCCAAGACATTGTTGATTGATAATGTATGACTACCAAAACAGAATCAATGGAATGGAATAAATAAGCACCCAAGAGTAGGCTACGCTACTCAAACTTTGAAATGTAAAACGAAAAGTAGTTTTTGAGGAACAACAAGTTCAAGGGCGCTGGTTTTGTTTTGCACGTTTTGAACCATAAGAAAAAATTTGTTATGCCCATTTAGCACGATATTCTAGAACAGTGCTTGGAGAGATGAATGAGATTTTGAGCCCCATCAGCATGCTTTCAGCCATCTTCGGCATCAGGAAACCACAATCACCACTATTGATGGTTTGGGAGACATGTTAGTAAAATGTACTTCATTTGAAACGGAAAACAAATATAAATTAAAAAATCGTGTAAGTATATGTATTAAAACGTACCCATTCCGTTGCTGTGGGACGTTTTTAACCATGTGTACATTCGGCCTTGTGTGAATATTTGGCGTTCCTGGATCCAACATAAATCTGAGACTGTTGTGGCGGTTAGTGAAAAAAACTAAAAGCGATTAATAAAAATAACAAGCCAAATAGATATAGGATTTATGTTGCCTTCAAGCATTTCATATGCATTGTTAATGGCTTGAGTCACAGTGCATTCGTCATTGACTACATCTGGTTCACGGGGGACAATAGGTGTAAGTGAGATATGAACAGATGGGGCATCTTTAGGAACCACAAGTAAAAAAATGGCTTATAGTGACATTAAATTAGCGTCACTAAACGATTTAGTGACACTTTGAAAGTGTCACAGAAAAGTGAGGCTACTGACGCTAACTTTAGTGTCACCGTTAACAAGTCACTTTTGTGTCACAAAATTATGACATATAAACATCATAGAAAACTGTGACATATACGTAACAAGGATTTTTGTGATACCAATGCATCATATTTTTAGTGATATATACATAACAAGAATTTTTGTGATACCATTGAATTCAAACTTTTGAGTGTTTTTATATGATCACTCACAAACATTATTAAATTAAAAGCCAATAGATAACTAAAATATCAGTCTTTTATTAATATACTCCTTCCGGTCCCAAATGAAATTCACACTTTCCTTTTTGGGTAGGTCCAAAATAAATTTCACACTTCTTCTTCCTTCCTTATTTGGCAAATTATCTACATCAAAACAGTGCAAAACAGTGTCAAACAGTGCCAAACAGTGTCAAACAGTGTCAAAACAGTGTACTCTACAGTAAAGTCAAATTTATTTCCTTAATTTGTGTGAAGTCAAAGTGTGAATTTCATTTGGGACCGGAGGGAGTATTAAATTGTCACAAAAATGTGATCAAACATACACGAGTCATAGAGGCATACTATACCCAAAACGAAAGAATTAATAAACTGCAAGTAAAAATAAGCACTTTAACCTATACAATCTCTAACTGTTACAATTACAAGATCTTCCACTAACTAATAACTCGTTGGAGAGGGCACATTGAAAAGCCGTCACACAGTGTTCCATGGAGCTTTATCTAGAGTTTTAGCTACCTCTTCAGTGTAAGAAGAAATAAAACTTAATAGCTCTAGAAAAATTCCACTGTTGGTAGAGGATGTTGACTCATCACGACCTCTCAAAGGACATCCTTGAAACACAAGCCATCTAATTGTGATTAATTAGATAAGCGAAGTCTATTTTCAGCAACTTCTTGAGAGGTAAACTTATCAATACTTTGGGCAATATGTGATTGTTGATTAATTAGATTAGCACATGCTCTTTCAGCATTTTGATGAGGAGAAGTGAGATCCTTTCCAATATGCACCAAGAATGAGCAATTTGTTCCATCTCTAACTTTCTTCCACGATCGAAAACCATCAATGGTAAAAAAGCATCGGATTCAGAAGGCCTGTCTTGTTTATGGAATAAGTACCATGACAAACAAACACAACATCTACCGCATGAGAATATTCTAACCAAGAAGGGAATAACTGAAACCATGATGTCTAAAAACTGCGACGATGCTTTTTTCCAGATTTTTGATACTCTAAAAGTATACATTGATATAGACCCGCCTTGATATAAGCTCTGCAAACTTCATCATGTTTGTCAACGGGGTATTTCTATATTGGTGGTCGCAATCCTGGATCACGTTCTAGAGATTGAATGTCAAACCTCTCGTTGACTTCAATTCTGGGACACTTAATTGGGCGACTCTTAGAATTCGAAGTATCAATGTGTGGAGATACATTTGATTGAGATGAAGAATTTCCAGTATTCGCACTTTTAAAGAATGTAAGGATAGATTGTGACTTTTGTGTTTTCTTCATCTATGCAAACAAGTGAAGGACAAGATTATATTTATTAACAATTTAAATTAAATATTGTTCCATTGGGGTTGAAACACTTAAGAGCTCTAAAATGCTATTTCAATGTTAAAATAACAATTAAAATATTGTGACTTTTGTGTCTTCTACAATCTAAAATATTGTTAGTATAATTAAAATTTCCTTAAATACGCATTTATCTCTAAACTAAGACACAATATATCCTAGCACTTTCTTAAATAATTAAGATTTTCTTGAATATTAAATACACATCTATCTCTAAACTAAGACAATATATCCTAGCACCTAATTAAATAATTAAAATTTCCTTAAACACACATTTATAAATATTATTTCCTTAGTTATGTATTCATAATTCACTCATTTTTGAATTAATTATTCAAGCCATAACACAAATCTAAGTTTTATAACAGTATTAACAAAAAAAAGAATCTCATATCTAATAGATGAAAAAAGTCAAAATGCTTAAATTACTTAGAATTTTAATAATTAGTAAAGTTTAATATTTTGCCTTAATAGATGAAAAGTGTGAAAAAGTTGTTGACATTTCTGGGTGCTGAAGAACAGAAGAAGAGCTGCTAAATTATTTTGTCGTTGCTCACTTGCTAAGTTGATGAAAAAAGCTCTCACCAGCAGAGCAGCTCACAGTCTCAGCAGCTCGATGGATGCAATTACGCAAACCTATTTTTCTATTAAAACTTGGACTAGAGTATTGGACTATAAATTAAAAGGATCTAATAGGGCTTTAGGCAATTAGGCCCAACCGCCAGTGGCCTTCCGTTTGTTTAAGAGTGTTGAGCTTATGCTTCATCATTCAGAGGTACTATACTAGTCCAAAATAAATTGTTTGGGAGGGGCCAAAAAATAATAACTAATACTACTAGGTAAAAAAAGTGGGGGAGGGTTTTTTTACTACTAGGTGATAGTATAGGTCCATCCCTGGCTACCCCTTTTTATAGATTGTAAGACTTTTTTTTTACTTCAAGAGGTGTCTGGGGGAGTTTTTTTTTAGATTTTAAGACTTGTTTAATAGCATTTCGCTTTACGAACTTGGAACTACTTGGAAAGCATTTCTGCCAAATACGACCCTTGTGACCGACTTCAGAATATACCGGAGGGATGTTATTAATGACATTGAAACAAAAAGTTTCACCCAAATGAGAAATAGAGAACAATACCTTCCTACCTTCAATTTCAAAAACGAAATCCCTAGGACTCTGGTTGTTGGCTACTTCAACCTCAAGCATATTACCTAGCACAAAATGTAAAAGTAGCCATGAACAATACATCTCCTTAGCGAATAGGAATTTGCCAAAAATAGTTTTCCGAAAGAGATCTAACTCATTAGGAAGTAATTTAGACCTGACTAGATTGATTGCATCATACAACCTACAAAAAGTATTCACCTTCCTTTTCAAATCCAAATTTACAATGGCGGTATCATGGTATCTTTTGGCTGCCTGGAATTAATAAAAAACATAGTCATACTTCAGAATGCAAGTACCTTTTTATTAGTGACTTGTGTATTTGAGCATATAAAGTAACTCAATATTAGACAAGAAACCTACTGCATTAGAGCTTTGCTGCATAGCGTTACAAACAACAGTAGGATGTGCAGGTGGAAGGCATGGCGTGGAAACAAAGTCAGTGTCACCCATCCCTACAGAAATCGTGCAATAAAACTAGTGAAATGAATCATTTGGTTAAAAGACATGTGCATGATCAAACTATAACAGTCATGTAGTTTATTTTTTTAGAATGTACAAAATGTTATACTCTCTCCGTCCCCCAATTAAGTTACGGGATGAATTTCACACATATTAAGGAAATAAATTTATTGAGGGGGGTAAATTTTACTGTATTGACACTGTTTGGCACTGTTTTGCACCGTTTTGCACTGTTTGACACTGTTTTGATGTAGATAATTTGCCAAATAAGGAAAGTAAGGAAGTGTGAACTTAATTTAGGAATTGCCCAAAAAGGAAAGTGGTAACTTAATTACGGGACGGAGGGAGTATAACAAAAAGTCATAGGCATGATATACACAATGGCATAGTCACTTTGGTGGAGTGACTTTAAAACTAATGCTTTCAATTACTGTGATGATATGATTAAAACGAATGCTTGCAGTTACTTTGTTGCATTAACCTCCCAATTGATAAAAACAAGCATCATATCACATGCACAAATCATATTAATTGACGGCTCTGAATTCGTTGTGTGCCTCAAAATAAATACGGAGTACAATACAACACTTATACGTAGTATGTATTATAACGTAGTAAGGTTCGTATCCGCAGAGAAAGAAATAATTCTTCTTTTATAGAACTAGTAACAAAGGGGGATTACTAGTTAATCCAGAGGAGAGAGTTGTTTTAACCGGGAGCTGCTATATGTGACAGTTTCGCGAGTTACGAACCACAAATTAAGGAATAGTCATTGTAAAAGTTTTGATGTATTATTTTGAATTTCAATATTTTTGTTTTAATTAATACAAAGTTCTTTATTTCGGCTGAGCATCGCTCCGGTGAGAATACTAATTTATAGTACACATTTGTGATTTATTAATCTAATTCACTCATGTTGTGCACCAAAAAAAAGGGTAATTGAGGCAAAAGGGGAGCCGAGTGCAACTTGACTTTTTACTTTCATTTCCTTATTCTGTACTCCAGGTATTATCTCAAGTCTTTGGTTCTCAACAAATGAAACATATATATTGGGTGATAAATGCAACAAATAAACTAATTTATGTTTAAAGCCAACATTCCGGAGTTTGAGAATGATCTCTCTTGTGGTCACTACAATAGTCATACACCAAGTAGTGACTCTTAACCCACTTCAATGCCCTGCCTTGGTGCCTTGTAAGGCCGCCTGAGGGGTATGGTGAACCAGACACAGGTCGGCACCGCCGCGAGGCATAGGCGGTGCACCCACTCACTTTGAAGTTCTTGAATTTCCCGACAAACGGTTGATATCGATAATCTGTCTTGTATTTTCCATCTTCAGTTGCCCATGGTGATGCATCCCAAATGGATCCATATATCCACATTGGCCTTCGTGGAAATGTGGTAATACTCTTCATACGGTATCTCCTTATTGGCACATCATCAACAAGAAAACTGTCGAAAAAATCAAACAAAAAATCATTTGAAGTTATGTACAAATTTAGTTATATTCCGTAACACATAGTATTACTCATAGCTTTAAAAACAATCATGTTTCAAATGTTGGAAATATTAGGAGTATTTCAAATGAATATAATTTTATTTATTTTAATAACTTTTATATTGCAAATAAAATATTAGCTTGTTACATTCTAAAAAGCTTTGTGAGCTGCTAGTGTTTATTAATAAGAATAATTGTTTTAATCCTTAATTAATTGAGCTCCCTTGAGGTGCGGGTCATTTGAAACGTTGTTGCTTTCAAGAATTACCAGTGGGTAGTCAAACCATTAATCCTGACGTTAGTTTTAATACAAACGTTAATATGCTTTAATTCGAGCAATGATTGGTTAGAAACGTTCTCTTTGAGTATATGGATATATATGTGCTCGGCCAGACCGGGTAGGTCGTAAGAAAAAGAATATTTTGAGCTAAAAGATCCCCAATACTTCCACTCCGCTGAATTAATAAAATTATCACTCTCGTTGTTCTGTTACCGGTTTACGCCGAAGAGCTCGTTTTATCTTGGGAAAAGATTTTCGCTAGTCGGAAATACTTTCTTGAGGACAGCGTTTACGCGACTCGAGCTATATTATTATATATATTATTTTCTAACGCTGTTTTGCAGGTTTATCCGGCCACTTTCCTCCAACAATCTCAAGAAAGTATTTCGCGTCGGATATGCCCGCACATATCAACTCACAAGGCGTTGTCGCCACACTCATCGCGGCTATGTTATCTTTGCACGTGTGTTGTGATTTAGACTGGTATTTGGATATATCTCTACGTATAATGATTACTCTCTTCACTTTCCTACTTACAATAAGCCATACTTTAACACCATTTTTTAAGAGAAATGTTATTCTTTTATTTAGTGGTAAAATGACAATTATGAAAAACAACAACCCACCAAAATCAAGGTTAAACTTGGTTTGTAGTGATGATAATTTCATTGCGGTTGTTTCTCAAAGTTGTAAAACTAATGATGTGAATGAGTGGGTGGTAGACTCCGGGGCTACCAAGCATATTTGTAAAAACAAAAATGCTTTTTCCTCCTATACTATTATAGGAGATGGTGAAGAGCTCGTGTACCTAGCGGACTCTAAAACCGTTAAAGTGCATGGAAAATGGAAAGTTCTTTTGAAGCTCACATCGGGAAAAACTTTATCACTAAATGATGTGTTGCATGTGCCCGAGATTCGGACTAATTTGGTTTCTGTTTCCCTCTTGGGAAAAGTTGGAGTTAAAGTTTCTTTTGGTTGTGACAATTTTGTTATGACAAAAAATGACGTTCTTGTGGGAAATGGCTATTGTAGAAATGGACTTTTTGTGCTTAGTATTTCTGAAATATTGTATGATAATGCTTCGGTTTATTTAATTGATTCTTACGATGTGTGGCATGCTAGACTAGGACATGCAAGTAACTCTTATGTTAAAATGCTAAGTGATTGTGGTTTGATTTTTTTTTTAAATTAATATGGCACTAGAAAAATGTGATGTTTGTGTTCAATCTAAACTAACCAAAAAATCTTGTCCCTCCATATATAGGGAATCGGAATTGCTTAGTTTAATTCACACGGATTTAGGTGATTTAAAAAATACCATGACTAGAGGTGGTAAAAAATATTATGTCACCTTTATAGATGATTTTTCCAGATACACTAAAGTTTATTTACTTAAAAATAAAGACGAGGCTTTTGATAAATTTTTAGTGTATAAATCTGAGGTAGAAAATCAATTAAATAAAAAGATTAAGAGAGTTAGATCGGATAGAGGGGGTGAGTATATTTTATTTAATGATTTTTGTGAAAAAGAAGGGATTATTCATGAGGTTACTCCGCCATATTCACCCCAATCTAATGGAATAGCTGAAAGAAAAAATAGGACACTAAAAGATATGATGAATGCTCTTTTAGTTAGTTCTGGTGCACCTGATAATCTTTGGGGGGAGGCTATTCTTTCTGCATGTCACTTACAAAATAGGATTCCTTATAAGCAAAATAAGAAAACCCCTTATGAATTGTGGAAAGGTTTTGCGCCTAATTTGAAATATTTGAAAGTGTGGGGGTGTTTAGCTAAGGTTTTATTGCCTGATCCTAAGAAGAGGAAAATTGGTTCTAAGACTTCTGATTGCATGTTTATCGGTTATGCTGAATCTAGTGCTGCTTATAGATTCCTTGTTTTGCAAAGTGATGTGCTTGAATGTGATACAATTGTTGAAACAAAAAATGCTGAATTTTTTGAAAATGTGTTTCCTTTGAAACGTGAACACAAGACCATTGCACCATATGGTGAGTATGAACCCTCTAGTGATAGTGAACCATTAAAAGAAAATGATTCTTTTAGTGATGAACCTTCTTTTTTGAGAAGAAGTAAGAGGCCAAGGATAGAAAAATCTTTTGGAAATGATTTTTATACATATCTTGTTGATGACGAGCCTTTAACTTATTCACAAGCTATTTCTTCAAAAGAAGCTCCATTTTGGCTTGAGGCCATACAAAATGAAATTGAGTCAATCAAACAAAATAAAACTTGGGTTTTAACCGATTTACCAAAAGGTTGTAAACCAATCGGATGCAAATGGATTTTTAAAAAGAAATTAAATCCGGATGGTTCTATTGATAAATATAAAGCGAGGCTTATGGCGAAAGGTTTTTCTCAAAAACAAGATGTTGATTATTTTGATACATTTGCACCGGTAACGCGTATTTCTTCCATTCGAACTTTAATTGCCTTGGCTTCTATTCACAAACTTTTTGTCCATCAAATGGATGTTAAAACTGCATTTTTAAATGGTGAGCTAGAGGAAGAAATTTATATGGTGCAACCGGAGGGTCATGTAGTTATTTGTCAGGAACACAAAGTGTGTAAGTTGATCAAATCTTTATATGGTTTGAAACAAGCTCCAAAACAATGGAATGAAAAATTTGATGAAGTGTTATTTGCTCATGGTTTTACCTCACTAGAAGTAGATAAGTGCGTATACACTAAATGTGAAAATGATGCGTGCATTATTATTTGCTTATATGTGGATGATATGTTAATTTTTAGTAGCAACCTTGAACTAATAATTGAAACAAAATCCTTTCTTGCTTCAAAATTTATTATGAAAGACTTGGGGGAAGCAAAAGTGATTTTGGGTATGAAAGTCATAAGGAAGGATGATGGTATTATACTATCTCAAGAGCATTATGCTGAAAAACTTCTAAAGAGGTTTGGACATTTCGATGTCAGCCCCGTAAGCACCCCTTATGACTCTCATATACACTTGAAAAAACACAGAGGTGATCCCGAGGCTCAATATGAGTATTCCCAAATTATTGGAAGTCTATTACACTTGATGAATTATACGAGACCCGACATAGCTTATGCTGTCGGAAGATTGAGTCGATATACTCATAATCCAAGTGGGGATCATTGGACCGCGTTGAGGCGGTTACTCAGATATTTGAGAGGTACCATTAATTATGGTATATTTTATAGTGGGTTACCCGCTGTACTAGAGGGATACAGTGATGCTAACTGGGTCTCTGACTCAGATGAGATAAAATCCAACACTGGATATATATTCACCCTTGGAGGTGGTGCCATTACGTGGAAATCAACCAAACAAACTATAATCTCTAGATCCACTATGGAGTCTGAGCTTATTGCTTTGGAAGTGGCTAGTAGTGAAGCGGAGTGGTTGAGAAATTTCTTAGCAGAAATTTCGGTTGGTACAAAACCAACACCATCTGTGTCTATTCATTGTGATTGTAGAAGTGCAATAGATACTGCTAAGAAAATGTGTTATAATGGGAAGAATAGACACATTCGTTTAAGACATAAAGTCATTAAACGATTATTGAAGAATGGAATTGTGTCCATTAATTTTGTGAGGTCACAAGGAAATTTAGCGGATCCTTTGACAAAAGCCCTAGGACGAAAATTGATAACCGAAACATCGAAGGATATGGGACTAGTGTCACTTTGAAACAAATGGGGATGGGAACCCAACTTGTGTGATTGGAGATCCCATGAAGCAAGTTCATATGGGTAATAACAAGTCTTCCATTTAGTTCTGCTAGCCTAACTAAAATTGCCCATTTTCCATGATGTGAGATATAGGCTAGAAACCGCATTCTTTGAGAGGCTGAACTAAAAGCTCTTAATGATTATCATAGCCCTTAACTTAAGGGTGGTGTGCAAAAGCGGTACACACTTGATGATATCACCTATATGAGTGTGAGGTGGGGCCGCCTCTATGAAGCATGACAAAACTTCTAGAGCACTCATGAACACCAAGCACGCGCATGGCCTTACGGCGCACAACGGCGTAATAACGAGAAATTGTGCGGGGTGAGACACGACCGTTAAGACCCTGATTTACCAATAGTAGCTTGTTGGTTCATAGAAACTATATGTTTCACCAAAAGATCGGTTTATTAAGACTTAATCGTCTCGGTTTGGTTCATAGTCTACGGACACCAAACTTAAAGTCTCTCTCCTTTAATCCAGCAAAATTTTTTTAAAATAAATTTTAACATCTAAAAATATTCATTTGAAATATGTGGGGGATTGTTGGAAATATTAGGAGTATTTCAAATGAATATAATTTTATTTATTTTAATAACTTTTATATTGCAAATAAAATATTAGCTTGTTACATTCTAAAAAGCTTTGTGAGCTGCTAGTGTTTATTAATAAGAATAATTGTTTTAATCCTTAATTAATTGAGCTCCCTTGAGGTGCGGGTCATTTGAAACGTTGTTGCTTTCAAGAATTACCAGTGGGTAGTCAAACCATTAATCCTGACGTTAGTTTTAATACAAACGTTAATATGCTTTAATTCGAGCAATGATTGGTTAGAAACGTTCTCTTTGAGTATATGGATATATATGTGCTCGGCCAGACCGGGTAGGTCGTAAGAAAAAGAATATTTTGAGCTAAAAGATCCCCAATACTTCCACTCCGCTGAATTAATAAAATTATCACTCTCGTTGTTCTGTTACCGGTTTACGCCGAAGAGCTCGTTTTATCTTGGGAAAAGATTTTCGCTAGTCGGAAATACTTTCTTGAGGACATCGTTTACGCGACTCGAGCTATATTATTATATATATTATTTTCTAACGCTGTTTTGCAGGTTTATCCGGCCACTTTCCTCCAACATCAAACACTTTAATTTATTGATAACAACAACTCATGGTTGATGACATTAAACGGCTTAAGAGGAAAGGGGTAAATAGGTCCTCGAAGTAATAAGTGATTCTGATACAACAAGGCTTCATAATCGAAATACGTACCTTACAACTACACCATCGACCTATTAAAATAAATCAATTGAGTCCTTTTTTGCCTGCTAGTGCCGGTAAGGCGCTAACTTTCTTGTGAGAAGTTACCGGCATCATCAGCTAAAAAATGTTTGATTGATTTATTTCAAACGGACCGAGGGGTTTATTTATAAGGTATTCCGATTCAAGGGTCTGATTATAAGATATCCCTATTCACTTTGTTTAATTTCACAAAAATGTGGAGAGAAAAGTTAGATTAGAGAGATTTTAAGTCATCAGATATATAAATCTATTATGAAAATTGTTCAAACCAAAGTAGCAAGTCATTACTTGAGTTCTGTAATCTTGGACTAATTTTAGTGCATGATTGAATGCAACCGGATCAAACGCAATCAAATAAACCAAGTCCATATAAAGGACAAAAAACACAAAATTTTGAGAATCTTAGTTGGATCAAGTCTGCTTCTACGTTGCCCAAAAAACACGCACATAAACATGCACATACCCATTAACTCAATAACTAATAAATATACTCTCTAACTGCTACCACCACTTTGGGACCGTTGCTTCTATTTTAAAAAATGTTTTCTAAAGTGATTTTAAAGAAAATGATTAATAGTAAAAGTTTGCAGTGTTTGGAAAAAAAAGTGTTTGCAAAAAAGTAAAAGTTAGTAGTGTTTGATAAAATAAGTTCACGAATTACTTCATTTACGAAAGTGGATTACAACTTCGATCATATAGAAACACTTTCCATACGAGGCTCTCAAAACCGACCGGGTAGTTGTTTGGGAGGTTGTAAATTGATCTTTGACCACACACTTATAGAAAGAAAGTAGAGTCTCATTTCAAGTCTTTGCTCGAAATTGAACCGAGAACTCTCTCTGGCTTCCTATCAAGTGAACTACGCATGTGGTAGATTTGAAGCAATAAATATACGCAAGTTGAAGTGCTTACATGATCTCTCTAGGACTCCAAAAGATAGCATAGTGGTGATAATCAGCTGTAGGGTCAAACCACAAATGGTACTTCATCTCTCTGCCCACAATACTATTTCCATCCCCACTTCCTCTCACATACACATTGGTCTGCAATGTATATGGCTTCCCAAATGTGGTTCCAAGAAACTCCATGTCCACTTCATCATGGAACCCTGGGTGAACTTCAGCATTTGACAGCTGCCGCCCAATTTCAAGAATCAGTTTTTATCTCATTTACACCACATATGTATGTATTTTATGTAATTGAACAATTAACATTATTACTATATATAATGAGTAAGTTACTCTAATTAATTAACAAATAAATCAATAATTCTCACGTAGAAGGCTGTGTTGGTTCCTGCAGTGTAACCAGATTGAAGCTTAATGGATGCTCCAAAATACCCCGACCGGAATGGCTTGAGTGACTTGAACCCGCTTCCTATAATAATAATGGTTAATCATAATAGAGTTACTTGGTTTGTAGCTTAACCGCGCACTGATTGAGATCAAATAAATACAAACAAAGATTTTTTTTTCGAATGTTATTTTAAATAAAATTATATGCATGTAAAATTAATGTTCTCTCAAATTTGGGGTGTGTCGGTGCCAAGTGTGACCCCATATATACCTACGTCTCTGGGCTTGTTCCTCCCTTATGTTTATGAAATCTATAAGCGTAGAATCAACCAATAAATAGGTAAGCCAAAAGAGAAGCTACCAAACCAGCTTGTACAATGCAATCCAAAGGCTTTTAATGACTCAAGTGGGCAAATTCCAAGACATTTTTAAAGTTCGGTTTAATTATTTGAGTGTACTGATCCATCTAAACGTCAACTTATTAGAATATACAAGTATTCTCTCATTTTTTATCTCTTCCTGCTTATTCATTTTTGGGAGGTTTTTTATAATGAGATTTTTCCTAAAATATTATTTAAAAAATCATGGACAAAAATGTGATTTAATAATTTTTAGTGACCGTATTTGTTAATAAATTTTATACTACGTATAATAGTAACTTCGAACACGATTATAGTCAGTTTTCCTATATAACAATATCCCCACATCCTAACTTTTACCATCGTCATTTAGTATGCTTCACCTACTCTACTCATTTTTAATTCCCCCTCACCCTCCCGGTCTCCCACTACCCTCATTTCTCTCTTGTTTCCTCTTCCATTCAATTAATTATTCTTCTTGATACATTATATTTCCTATTTTCATTTTAAGACAAAAAATATGCACTATACATTACTTCTATTTTTTTTTAAAAATACGGTTAAAATCCTGATGTGATCCTTAATAAAGAACGTAAAGAGTGTAAATTATATTCCGTAATTATGAAAACAAAAGATTAAAGGATCTATTTCAACCTTTTTAACAGAAGATAGGGAAATCTAACTATATATGACTACAAAACTTCCATGGATTCCTAACATATGACTAGCAGTTTGAACATGATTCTATATGAGCTATCTAATCATATTTAAAGAATGACCACTTCTTTTGGTCATATTCTAAACAATTTTCTCAAAAAAAAAAAAAACTAAGGCGCCCTATTTGAGGCCCATTTTAGAAAACTCAATACAGTCAACCTTCCATTAAATGTACACTGTACATCTTAAGTACGAAGTATCTGGCTGTCACTTTAGGACACCCTGTTTAGGCAGAGCCTTAGAGGCCACTCCCAAATTTGAAAATTGGAATGGTCCACAAATCTCAGGTGCCTAAGGATGTTTTGAACGGATTCTGCTTCTCTTTCTTTTCGGAAGCAAAAGTGGAATCAGAATCAATTTTCAGAAGTCGATTTTCTCCGGCTTCTGAAATAACCAATTCTAGGAGTAAATTAGAACATCAGAAGTACTTCTGCACTTTCACTCAAACACTCCAACTTCTGCTTCTGCTCCATGAAGGAGAAGAAACAGTTTTAAGAATCAGATTCAAACACCCCCTAAGTGTGTTGTTAATCACTTCATACCTTCCTTATAATTTTAACAATTTTAACAGGTTTAAAAAATAACAAAGTAAAAAATGTGTGATTAAGATTTGTATAAGTAAGAGAAATTACAATGACAAAAATTATTTGAAAAAAAATTGGAACAACCAAAACCAAATAGTGAAAATGATTAAGTTACATGGGACGGAGCAAATACTTATATTAATTATTTTGTCATTACTCCGTATATTCTATTGCCGGCCTCTTCTAAAAGTTGTTGGTGTTGTTACTTGTTATTAAGTCGCAATTGATTCAAAATTGGTGTATTTATTAACTTTGGTACTTTTTTGTAATCATTCATTAATTGTGAAACTTGGGTTGTAACACTATTTCCAAAGTCTTAAAGTTAAATTTCAGTCGTGAAGTCATTCATTAGTTAAGGTTCCCTACGAACGTCCTCAGAGACATGGATACGTACGTCTCCAAAGCCCATTCAATTTGGGGCGGCTATGTGCGAGACATCCCAAGGTGGAGACAAGGTCCGTCCCCCGGGGGACACTCGGCCTCATAACACTAGCCCACTTGAGGTCAGGTGGAATGCATAAGGCAATCTTAGGGGGACACTCGTCCCCATTGTATGGCGGCGGGTCACTGTGATTTAGGTCATATTTTTGGAATTTTGAAAAAGATGTCACATTTTTTTCTTTTATCTTTTTTTAGTAATATCGAGGCCAAAAGGCCTTACAACTTTAATTACATTTCATCCAAGTTCAAAAAGTTAAAAACAAGACAAGTAAAAAAGTCACATCAAACATGCGTTGCATCTTATTCCTACGTAAGAAAAAGAATTATTCATAATTAATTCATATAGAGCTCCTTTGGTAATTCAAAATCTGTTGAATCATTTGACTTTGCTTAAATTTATAAAGTTGCCAAAGTTGACTGACACAGAAAATAATAAAGTAAAAAGTGTGTGGTTGAGGTTCGTGCAGAGGAGAGAGAAATAACATAAACCACAAAATAATTGATTAAAAGCGAAAGTGACAAAGTTTTTTGGGACGTCCCAAAAAGGAAAGATGACAAAGTTTTAAGGGACAGAGGGAGTATAAAAATTACATTTAAAATATATTTTATTAATATATAAAGAAAAAATAGTTAAAATGACTCTCTATAGTAACTTCGATCAATATAGTCAGAAAAGTAACTTCAACCTTACTTTTTAATTATTACACAATTCTGAGCGCGAAATCAAAGATCAAACGGGCTAATAGTCTCCCTTGAATTTACAATAAACGCACTAGTTAAAACCATCTAAACACTAAAACCATCAAAAGAAAGTAAAAAAGGGAAATTACGAAAATAATAGTAAGATCAGAATAAGTTAAACTAAATGGTTGACCAAGTTGTTTAGAGTACTAAAGTAAATATTTTATCTTAACAAATTAAAGGAGTTTAGGAAAGGGTTTCATATCATAAGGTTGGGATAGATTAATACTCCCTCCGTCCCAATTTGATTTGCAAAATTTCCATTTTTGGTTGTCCCAAAATGGTTTTCCACTTTCTATTTTAGGTATGTAAATAAGAATAAAGTGACAAATTTATCCTTACTTTTACTTTTTTCCCATTAACTTAAAGGAATCTACTTTTAAAAAGATGAGCAAAAGTGTAAAAAACAAGCATCATTTATTATCATTTCTTAATCTTTGTGACGGTCAAAGTTTGCAATTCAATTCGAAACGGAGGAGTACACGTATAAGTAAAAGAATGTACGACAAAGCAAAAGGTATGCCCCATATATGTGGACGGAACTATCCTAGACTCCCTAGAGCCGTGAATTGATAAAATTGTAATAAAAGCAAAAATAATACCAGTACTTTGTACTACATATACTACGTATATACAAATAATGCATATACAAATACAAATAAATTAGTTAGTTGAATGAAATATAAATTTTATAATTTTTAAAGTACACAAATTAGATAGTCTTAAAATAATACTACTCCGTATGTGTTACGTAGTCGACGAGCTTTCATCATTTGAATAGGATTGTCCTCTTAGTGGTCTTCAAACTGAAACCATTATTAACATCTTTAGAAACATGTTATATTTCCTTCTCATTTATAAAAAAAATAAGCGTTGTACGCGTTCTAAAGTAATATTCCATCCGTTCCAAAATTAACTTTCCACTTTTCTTTTCGGACAGTCCTGAAATTAACTTCTCACTTCTCTTCACTTCCTTATTAAGCAAATTATATATCTACATCAAAACAATGCAAAACAATGCAAAACAGTGTCAAACAGTGTCAAAATAGTTAAATTTACCCCATAGTAACATTTATTTTCTTAATATGTGTGAAATCGAAGTGAGAAGTTAATTAGGAGACGGAGGGAGTACATAATAATCAGGAAAATCAAACACATACGAAGTAACTACTACTACATAGTACATACTACTCCGTACTTATTAATATTTTGGAGACCGTAGATAAAAGTGGGTGTTGAAGTCCCACATCGGTAATTAAATTAAGAAGTAACAAAGTGATATATTAATAAGATCATGAGCTACTCATATCAGATTGACTTTTAAGAATGGAATCACGAGTCTTACCATTGTAACAAAGCCAAATCAATCGATAACAATGGTGTGAACCCCTTATGAAAACTGACGACACGATTATTAAAAATGACAATAACAAACTGGAGAAAAAATGAATAACAACGCGAGTAAGACGAAATGTCTAATTGTGAGGAGGGACGTTGAAATCTAACCGATAAATTAAGAAGGAACAAAGTGATACACTAAAACATGGACTACTATTCTTTTGAGGTTGACTTTTTATTCTCAGGTCTAATCAGTGAGCCCCTATGCTAAGCAACTATTGCACTCTCACTCCTCGGGGTAGTGGTTTAGCTTGGAAATTAAAGAAACATAATTAACCTGATGTCTGGTCAAGCCAAATGGTTAAACCATTGTTGTCCACGCTTTGATGGTTTGCACCCCAAAGGTTCCTATAAGCATCATAGAAGCTCATGGACCTGAACCTTGAACTAGGGTAGTAGCCCGGGGAAGGTGGCCAGTTACCAGCTGCATTGCTTGACCAATGAAAGTTCGCCGCTAGGATCAGAACCATGAAACGGACAGAGAGTGAAGAAGTCATGAATAATGGAAGATGGATGAACTCATGCCATACATATATAATACTCCGCATCTATAATACGAAGTATATATAGTGATGGGAAAAATTAAACTGTGCGCGTACAGTATATAAATGCAGGTTGACAAGAGGGAGTTTAGGCCAGGCAATGGGTATATGCAGACGAAGTGGCATCGACCAAAGATAGCATAAATGGGGAGACCGGCGTGGGTCCCATGTTGTGACATACATATACTACTTCCGTTTCTTAAAACTTTGCCAAAGTAAAAACTGTGTGGTTGAGATTTGTGCAGAGGAGAAAGAAATAACAGAAACCACAAAATAATTGATTAAAAGGGAGAGTGACAAAGTTTTTTGGGGCGTTCCAAAAAGGAAAGATGACAAAATTTTAAGGGACGGGGGAGTATATACATACATAAATATATAGTAGTTGAGGTCTAGTATCAATTAGTACTTCCTCCGTCTCATTTAAATCTTTACACTTTTCTCTTTGGAACGTCTCATTTAATCTTTTACGTTTTCTTTGTAGACAACTTCTTCTATATTAAATGTTTTGACTACCCTTCAGTACTCACTCACTTTTTACATTTGAGTGAATAACATTGATTCTCCCCAAAAGTCAAAGGGTATGCAAGACATTTGTTCTTTCTATTAATTCAGCTCCTAAAATACCGTGCTAAAAGCAAACTTCAAGTTCTATCTGGGATGAAGGGGGTAATATTCTTGAGTATGTCCAAATATACAAAAAGGGACTTGTTTTTTAAATTAATTTGTCTATTTGTAAATTGTAATCTTGACTTCCTCCGATTAATTCCGGGCTCCTAAGAATTCATATTCCCAATGTTCTATGTATCTCGACATGGGCGGATCTGCAAGGGGGCCAGGGGGCTGGTGCCCCTGCTTCACCAGTCCGAGATGTATAGGAATGGGTAGGGAGCCTCCGGTCTGGTAAGTTCTCCATGGAGTTTTCTAGCGAATGTATGTTGAGGGTGTGAGGACGGAAGACGATGAACTAAACTGACCGAAGAACACTGAGGGCTATTTTTTATTTACTGTGGAATGACGACGTTTTGTAGGATCAATTAAAAAAATCAGCTCAACTTCCCTGCCCGATTGGGCCAACTGCCAAGCTCCAACAAGAAACAGCCCAAACAAGAAAATAGGCGTTAGACAGACCAAGCGGCAACTCTACAAGCCTTGAATCCCTCAAGGTCTGGAATGAGTTGTCGCCAATTTCGCAGTAGCGCCACATCGGAAGGGGCGCCCCGCGCCAGGACTCCTGAGCCAGCTCACCGTTAGAGTATGCATTTCTCGCTACTAACGGCCACTCCCGCTAACAGTCATCCTCTGCCACCGTCCGTTGTGTTCATCGCCCGGGAATTATTATTATTGTTGCCTTTCTTTTCTGATTGTTCCCCCCTTACAATAATTTCTAGTTCCGCCACTGTATCTCGATATACAAGGAATCGCTCTCAACTGATTTAACGCGTTCATAGGTCTTATGGATTACTCGAACAGTCACCCAAGCACAAATTATAGTATCGATAATTGAATCTCTTTAAAGATTTAGAGGGCAGATCATATCAAGACGGCTTGACGGAAACCGTCATCAGATCGAAGTCATTTGATGCCCTTCTTGGTGGAACTTTTTGACAAAATTTTTTGACCGTATTCTTCATCAAATCTAGTTTATTATCACCAAATTTGAGCTAAACATTAAATTAGTAAGGCAGTTAAATAAATTATTTACAAAAACTTCGCTTTATATATAAACACCACAATTTATGTAAATAATTTGTTTAGCTATCTTTCCGGTTGAAGTTTTATCTGAATTTTGGTGTGTGCACACTAGACTTGATGAAGAACATGCTCAAAAAATTCATCACAAAGTTTCACTTAGAAGGGTCCCAAATGGCCTCGACCAGACGGTGAGTCCTGTGAGACCGGCCTGACAGAATTGCTACGCTATAGACCTATATACTATATATATGACCTTATGAAGTTATGAGCTATAATATGTGAAACTTATGAACTCATTTCTAGTCACTAAAATGATTGAAGAAAAAATATTTAAAGGGTGTTTGGTAAGATTCAAAATGATTACATTACATGCAAAATTAGGGATGTAAAGAGTTTACATCGTTCGGTTTGATTAGTTAATGTAAAATTATGACACTTTGTTTTAAACATTTTACATTGTACCGTATAAAATATTTTACATGAAAGTATTGCAATGACTTTTATTTCGTGTCTTTAAAAATAAATTGCACCTAACTAAATAGTGTACTTTTATTTTGAATATAAAGAGATTTTTTCTCTAAATTTTGATGAATATTTGGAAGGCAAACGTATTATTTCTTTAAATTTAAATGCAATCATCGTACATGTAAAAATTTTAATGTGTAAAGTATTGAGTACATAAAATTTGGTAAGTCTTTTTTTGGAGAAACTGACTTATTCTCCATCGCTCCCTAATAAAACTACTCCTTTGACCCAGCACGAGGATTAAGATAGCAAGTTTTGTTTAATGGGAAGTTGTGCAGAAAAGAGAAAAATGTGTAACAATGTTTGCGAACCACAAATTTTTTGTTAAAAAGGAAAAAGAGATAATTTTGTAATAGACGAAAAAAGAAAGTTTGAAAATTATTCTCGGACGAAGGAAGTATTAAAATAACAGAACAAATTTGGTAAGTGAGTCAATAAATGTAATTGGTCAATAAATTAAATGATGTCGGGCCTCATTATTTTTTTGAGCGTTTTTTCTTCGTGAACTTTATTCAAGAGAGTGAATTACCACTGAATTATTCACCATTTCTTCCTACGGGAGAGTAAAAAACTGCTCCTATCCTTCTTTAAAAGAAAAGTTGTGTTTATACCCCACCTCTTATCATCAAGTCCAAGACGATTGTTATACCGTATGACCGCACCGGCATAGGGTTTTAACCTTTTGGAAACTCCGAATATCATCCCAAATTCAGTGAACTTTGTTATTTTTTATTTCTTCTTTTCTTAAAACTGTTAATATTTTTTTTTATTTTTAATCTGATTTTTATAAAATTTATATCAAAATATTTTATTTTTCGTGATCTTTCATATCAAAATTAGTATCCTGATTTTATAGTTTTAGACTTTTTAGGTACAGTTGCGTATTACACTTACGTTGACCAAGTTATTTTCTGGGTTTTGTCTGACTTATTCTTCTACTTTTTAGATGACCGCAAATCAAAATTGAGTATTGCGTTGAAGTTTTTATAATCTTCTGTAGTATATTCATTTTTGCGTTGAAGTTTTTTTTGGTAATAACGCTGTTACCTTCTTCTAGGGATGGACCCGGGCCGGTCCGGTTCCGGGCCGGGGCCGGGCGGGCTTTTTTTGCAAATCCTTGGGCCCGGAACCGGCCCGGGTTGATACCGGGTCTGGGCCTAACCGGGCCGGGCCGGGCCCGATTCAATGTCTATTTTTTTTTGCTTTCTTGTTATCCCCCGACCCCCCCCCCCCTCACCCTCACCCCCAAATCTCCCCAAAACACCCAGCCCTATCCTAGGAAAAGAAAAAAAATTGAAAAACAGAAAAAAAAATTGACTCGGGCCCCGCCTGAACCGCTCGGGCCGGTTCGCTCAAAACTGGGCCCGAGCCCGGCCCGCCCGACCCGGCCAAACGGGCTAAAAGCCCGGTACCGGCCAACCGATCCAGGTCCGGTCCGGGCCCGCACATTAGCGGGCCGGCCCAGTTTAGTCCATCCCTACCTTCTTCTATAATACTCTGGCTTTGGCAGGCCAGAGTGAAAGTAATTTTCTTTCTTTTTTTGAAAGTAAAGTGAGAGTAATATACTCCCTCCGTCCCAAATTGAATTGCAAACTTTGACCGGCACATGAATTAAGGAATTGCAATAAATGATGCCTGCTTTTACATTTTTGGCCATCTTCCTAAAAGTAGATGCTTAAAATAGAAAGTGGAAAACTATTTTGAGACAACCAAAACAGGAAATTTTGCAAATCAAATTGGGACGGAGAGAGTAATTATCTTAGGCACTGGAAGACATAGGGAGGGGCCTAGGGGGGCAAGTGCCCCGCTTTCTACCGGTAATTTAACTAGTAGTACTTAGAGTAAAATAAGTGTCCCACTTCCAGCAAAAAAAATCACTACTAGTGTGACCCTACTCTGACAAATTTCTGGGTCCGCCATAGATTCTTAGCTATACTAAAAGTCAATCAGTTTCCCAATCTATGGCCTAATTTGTTTTTTTTAACCAAACGCCTACCAACTCAGCCGCCTTGCTGTCCAACCGTCGTCCGCCATCTAGCCACCGCCTGTCGTCTGTTAGAAATTAAACTTGGCTTAGCCCAATAATTGGGTCCATTAGATGTTAACTTATTGGGCTAGAAGTTGTATGATAATTAATAAATTAGCTAGCCCATAAGATAGACTTAGAAAGATCTAGAGTAGTTAATGTACCTAAACAATTCTAGATTATTCCTAAGCTAGAATCCTATAGAATATTCTAGAAGGTTAAGGAAGTAGGAGTACCTAGAAGGATCCTATGAGACCTATAAATAGAGCACTCCTCACTCATTTGTAAAGCAAGCCAAAAAGCTCCAAATCAATACAAGTTCCAAGTTTTTCTAAAATCACCACTCTCTAAAATTCTCTCTTCCACACACAATCACCCAAATATAATACTCATCAACTACTTTCTTCCAACAAAGTGGTATCAGAGCCATCAATCCTTTCAAGAAAAATGAATTCCAACGGCTTAGTTCCATTCCAATTTCCTCGCCTCACTAAAGATAACTACTCTAGTTGGTGCATTCGCATGAAAGCCTTGCTTGGATCTCAAGATGCATGGGAGATTGTTGAGAAAGGTTATGAGGAACCTCAAGATGATGCTACTTTAAATCAATCCCAAAGGGATAGTCTACAAAAGAGTAGGAGGAAGGATCAACAAGCTCTCACTCTCATATATCAATGCTTAGACGAGGCCATGTTCGAGAAGGTTTCAAATGCCACCACTTCTAAAGAAGCATGGGAGATACTACATAACTCTTTCAAGGGAGTTGACAAGGTGAAGAGAATTCGTCTTCAAACTCTTAGAGGTGAGTTCGAACAACTTAAAATGAAATATTCAGAATCAATATCCGACTATTTCTCTAGAGTGTTAGTAATTGTAAATGAGATGAAGAGGAATGGTGAGGAACTAAAGGACATAACGGTGATTGAGAAAATCCTTCGCTCTCTCACCAAAGACTATGATTATATTGTGGTGGCCATAGAAGAGTCCAAGGATTTAGAGTCCATGACCATTGATCAACTTATGGGCTCACTACAAGTCCATGAAGAAAGAGTTGTGAGAAATAAATCTGATGAATCATTGGAGCATTCTCTTTACTCCAAACTCTCTTTTAAAGAAAGAGGGGAGAATAGAGGTGAAGAAAGAGGCCAACGAGGTCGTGGTTATGATCGAGGACGTGGTGCACGTGGAAGAGGTGGTCGAGGTCGTGGTTATACAAACTTCAACAATGAAGAAAGAATTCAATATACACAAGCATCTAGAGGCCGTGGGAGAGGAAGCAAACCACAAAGGTACGAGAAGTCTCAACTAAAGTGTTATAATTGCAATAAATATGGCCACTATGCATATGAATGCAAGCGCTCTAATCATGTTAAAGAAGAGGCCCATCTCATGGAGATGAATAATGAGGTAGAACTTACCTTGTTGATGGCAAATCATGAAGAACAAACAAAGAAGAGCACGTGGTATTTAGATACCGGAGCTAGCAACCACATGACGGGAGATAAAAGCATGTTCGTGAAGGTAGAACAAACTCAAGGTCATGTTACTTTTGGAGATGAGTCTAAAGTCGAGGTGAATGGTAAAGGTAACGTTCTAATCCGTCTAAACGATGGAAGTCACCAATTCATTTCCGATGTTTACTATGTGCCCAACTTAAAAACAAATATTCTAAGTATGGGACAACTCTTAGAAAAGGACTATGATATTCACTTAAAGAATCGTAGTCTTTCTCTACGAGACAATAATGGAAGACTAGTTGCTAAAGTGCCGATGACTAGAAACCGAATGTTCTTGCTTGACATTCAAAGAGATCAAGCCATATGCTTAAAAAGTTGCTTGAAAGACGAGTCATGGATTTGGCACTTAAGATATGGGCACTTAAACTTTGGTGGCTTGAAAATGCTATCATCCAAAGGCATGGTGAAAGGCTTGCCCTTCATCAATCATCCTGATCAGCTATGCGAAGGTTGCCTATTTGGGAAGCAATCAAGGAAACCATTCCCTAAAGAAGTTACCTCAAGATCTAAGGAACCATTGGAGTTAGTCCATACCGACTTATGTGGTCCTATTACTCCATGTTCACATGGTAAAAGTAAGTACTTTCTCACTTTCATCGATGATTACTCAAGAAAAACATGGGTATATTTCCTTAAACAAAAATCTGAGGCCTTTGAAGCATTCAAGAAATTTAAGGCTCTTATTGAGAAAGAAAGTGGGTACAGTATCAAAGCCATGAGATCAGATCGGGGTGGGGAGTTCACATCAAAGGAGTTTAATCAATTTTGTGAAGATAATGGCATCCGCCGTCCCATGACTGTCCCACGAACACCACAACAAAATGGTGTTGCCGAAAGAAAGAATAGGACGATCCTCAACATGGCTCGAAGCATGCTAAAAACAAAGAATATGCCTAAAGATTTTTGGGCTGAAGCTGTGGATTGTGCTGTCTATCTTCAAAATCGCTGCCCCATGAAGAGTCTCGATGGAAAAACTCCACAAGAAGCATGGCATGGAGGTAAACCTGGAGTCTCACACTTGAGAGTATTTGGATGCATTGCATATGCGCATGTACCCGATCAGACTAGGTCAAAACTTGACGACAAGAGTGAGAAGTTTATATTCATTGGATATGATAAACACTCAAAAGGGTACAAACTCTACAATCCGGATTTTAAAAAGCTTATAATAAGTCGTGATGTGGAGTTTGATGAAGAAGGCTCATGGGATTGGAGCATTGGTGACAAAGAAGATTATAGTCTCTTGCCTCTCATGGAATATGAAGAAGAAGTTGAAGAAAATCATGAAAATACAACTCCTCCACCATCTCCCACTCAAGCTCAAGCTTCATCACCAAGTTCGGATGAAAGAGAAATACCACGCATGAGAAGCATTGAAGAGCTTTACGAGGTAACACAAAATTTGAACTCAAATGATGAACTTACACTCTTTTGTCTATTTGGTGATTGTGAGCCACTAAGTTTTCAAGAAGCCACAAGAAACAAGAAATGGAGAGATGCAATGGATGACGAGATCAAGTCAATCGTGAAGAATAAAACATGGGAGCTTGCCACACTTCCACCAAAACATAAAGCAATTGGAGTGAAATGGGTATTTAAGATCAAGAAAAATGCAAAAGGAGAAGTTGAGAAGTACAAGGCAAGACTAGTGGCCAAAGGCTACGCCCAGAGACATGGCATTGATTATGAAGAAGTATTTGCGCCCGTGGCTAGATTAGAAACAATAAGATTGATAATTGCATTCGCGGCTCACAACAAGTGGAAGATACATCAAATGGATGTCAAGTCTGCATTCTTAAATGGGTTCCTAGAAGAAGAAGTCTACATTGAGCAACCCGAAGGTTACAAAGTCAAAGGGCAAGAAGGTAAAGTGTTGAGGCTAAGTAAGGCTCTTTATGGGCTTAAACAAGCACCAAGAGCTTGGAATAGTAGAATTGATCAATACTTCCAAGCTAATGGATTCGTGAAATGTCCGCAAGAACATGCTCTATATATCAAGAAAAATCATCAAGGAGACATATTGCTCGTGTGCATATATGTGGACGACCTCATCTTTACAGGTAATAACATGACGATGTTTGATGAATTTAAACAAGTCATGACAAAGGAGTTCGAGATGACTGACATTGGGCTTATGAGTTACTATCTTGGCATCGAGGTGAAACAAATGGATGATGGTATATTCATCACTCAAGAAGGATACACGAGAGAAGTACTCAAGAAGTTCAACATGGAAGACTCTAAACCTGTAAGTACACCTGTTGAAAGTGGACTAAAGCTATCAAGGTATGATAAAGGAAAATTGATTGATCCAACTTACTTTAAGAGTCTTGTGGGGAGCTTAAGATACTTAACATGTACAAGACCAGATATTCTCTTCGGTGTTGGACTTGTTAGTCGATTCATGGAGGCCCCCACAACACCTCATTTGAAGGCTGCAAAAAGGATTTTGCGATATCTTAAAGGCACCACCGAATATGGGTTGTTTTACTCTTCATCTGATGAGTTTAAGCTGGTTGGATATTCTGATAGTGATTGGTGTGGAGATATTGATGACCGCAAGAGAACAACTGGGTTCGTATTCTACATGGGAAACACCGCTTTCACATGGGTTTCAAAGAAGCAACCGATCGTCACTCTATCCACTTGTGAAGCCGAGTACGTTGCAGCAACATCAAGTGTGTGTCATGCAATTTGGCTCCGCTACATATTGCAAGCTCTCAGCATGTCTCAAGAAGAAGCAACAACAATATTTGTGGACAACAAGTCAGCTATTGCATTAGCAAAGAATCCAGTGTTTCATGATCGAAGCAAGCACATAGACACTCGATATCATTTCATTCGAGGAAAGATAACGGAGAAGGAAGTTCAAGTAGAGTATGTGAAGACTCAAGACCAAGTCGCTGATATTCTCACAAAGCCACTCAAGCATGATGTCTTTGCAAAGATGCGAAATCTACTTGGTGTTGCTAAGTCAAGTTTAAGAGGGGATGTTAGAAATTAAACTTGGCTTAGCCCAATAATTGGGTCCATTAGATGTTAACTTATTGGGCTAGAAGTTGTATGATAATTAATAAATTAGCTAGCCCATAAGATAGACTTAGAAAGATCTAGAGTAGTTAATGTACCTAAACAATTCTAGATTATTCCTAAGCTAGAATCCTATAGAATATTCTAGAAGGTTAAGGAAGTAGGAGTACCTAGAAGGATCCTATGAGACCTATAAATAGAGCACTCCTCACTCATTTGTAAAGCAAGCCAAAAAGCTCCAAATCAATACAAGTTCCAAGTTTTTCTAAAATCACCACTCTCTAAAATTCTCTCTTCCACACACAATCACCCAAATATAATACTCATCAACTACTTTCTTCCAACATCGTCCAGCGCCGCCGCCTTGCACAAAACTTCTGCCGGGGAGAACAGTCGATGACCCTGAAGCAATGTGGCTTGCTGGCGTAGTTGTCCGCTCGAAATGGATGCCAAGGCGGTGAAGGTGCCGCCTGGTCTAGATGTGTTGTCCGCCATCCAACCGCCCGTTGTAGAACCTCCGCCGGCGGATTACTGCCTGAGAATTCACAACGGCAACAAATCTCATTCTCTGCTCTTACGCGCACAACAAACTACCTTCTCTCCCTCATCTCTAATTCTTTACGTAGTACTCCGTATTATCTGGTTGTTTTTTACAAGTTACAATTACGTATTTTTTTCAAACAAATTTGTTTTAATTTTCTGAGGTATTGTTTATTTTATCCAAGTTTATCACAAAATGCTTATAAATTCGTTTCAATTTTTTGTGGTTGCTACGTTTTCTGTGGTTTGTTAAATTTAGGGTTTATGAGCATTAAACATGTGTATCGAACATTAGCGGTGAACATGTCAGTGAATGAATGCATTTAAAGAAGTTTGTTATGCAATGGTTATGATGGATAATGCAGTAACAAAGAGAAATAATGCCAACATGTAATGCAATGTACTTAATTAGACTTAAAATAAAAAAAATTATTACATCTAAAAACAAAAAAAAATAAAAACTATAAATAAATTCTTAAATTGAATGAGAAGAGATATAATTTTGACGGAAGTGCAGTAATTGTTATCGGATATGCAGTAAAAGCAATAAAAAGTGCATTAATTTAGTTGGACTAAATTAGTGAAAAATCCACTCATTTTAAATAAGGGTATTTTTGTCATTTAACATTTAAATATAAACGAGATTTTCTTTTTTGAGGGATTTTCGGTCATACATAAGTCCAAAAACTAGTTAGGTCGTAGATTGGAAAACTCATTCAGTTTTAGTCATATCTTAGGAAATTTCTTTCTTTTAATATGATTTTTTTTCATTTTTCATATTTAATTCATTCCGTTAAAATTTAAGACTGGTCTTAATCTTTTGATACAGCAGAGTACATAATAAGTGGTACGGAGTTAAAGTTAGGTGTGGAATTTATTTTTCAATTACAAGCAAATAAAAGTCATTGCAATAATACTAGTATCATATAATTCCTGTTATTGAGCATTTGAGCACCTAAAAATGTATTGTTTATAATTAATCAGAGTTTTTTTTGAGTGTTTTTTATATATAAAAGGATTCTTGAGATTTGATAAGCATAATAGCATATACTCCGTATTTAGTTAAAGGACTTGAATACTTTTTAAATAATACGAAATACAGGTAATAATTAAGGACTTGAATACTTATTACTACGGTACGTCATACGTTTTCGACATACGTACTCATATACATGCATGGTTACTGGTTAGCAACGTAGCAAGCATCAAAACATAATATCTCAGTCATTATTAATAACATTTTTGATATATATACATACATTTATAGGTATTTCAAAAGACCATCTTTCTTTTTTGGCAAAATTCCAGAAATAGGAGAGAACATGTTTTGGAATTACAAAAAAGAAACGTTATGTTTTTCTTCCCAAAATAGGAGTAACATAATAATATTCATTGTTATCTTGAAGTAATTACTACCAAATAGTTGGAGTACTATACATTAACACGACAATATTTACGATCATTATTGACAATATTTTTTAATGATGAAAGTAACGACGACTATATGTAGAATTTTTTGAAATTCTAAAACCTACCTATTTTTATTTAGGCAGGCCATTTCTCCTATATATTTTGTCTAATCTATGAAATATGAGCTAGGTTAAGATCAGCTTATTTTTGGCAAATTAAATCACATCATCTTGTGGTCATCAATCCATCTGATAGCTCTTGAGGCGACTAACAATTTTGTTGGTTTATTGCATTTCCACTACACTTGACACCCACTTGTCCTAGCCATCTACCATTAATTAAATTATATTGGCGCTTTTTGTAATCTTGTTAGTGTCGGCAAACTTTTGCAATTTTAAAAAGATTGGAAAAATTATATGGAGTCCCGTCATAAAAAACAGTACGGGCATAGTATATTTTATTGGCAATTTGTCTCTTTCTCAAACAATAAACCTTTAATTAGATCGACCACCTGTAATCTAAAGATATTTGTAGTCCCAGATAAAAAATGAACATTTTGAACTCTAAAATTGTTACATTCGGAGAAACTTTTCAATATCGATAAACATTTATATTTTAGATTCACTTCACATGCTCTAAAAATTTTTAACTTGTGTGTATGGTATTTAATATTGTTCGATATTTTACAAAATCGAGTACTAATTATCTAATAAAGACAATTAAATGTTACAAAGCTAGAAATCTTTATATAACAGGTATCATATGTCTTAAACAATGAGTTGTGCTATTTTTTATCCATTTAAGTTAAGTAAATTATTTTAGATGTTACTGTTTTTAAATCTCCAATTATGTATTACATTATATATGTAATGCTATATATTAATTTTGAAAACTAAAAGTTAAGGGGGGCGAAAACATATATATCTAATTAAAGTATGAAAATATTACATACGTAGTATATATAGTAGAAAAATTTGAAAATTCAAAGGGACGGTCTCCCCCGCGCGGCCGCCCTCCCTTAAATCCATCCCTGCACCCCACCCGATTGAGAAACTTTGGAAGGTAGGGAATGGTGGGAGCTTACTAGAGAGAAGGTTGACCTAACAATTTTATTCACCCCACCCGATTGAGATGCCACATAACATATCAATTAATTTTAATTTTGCAATTATTATTACTTTTTCATTTGTTATATCTACAATTTTTCATGATACCAATATTGTATATATGAAATTAAAAATAAAATCAGCTAAAAATAGATTTAAGAAAAAAACAATTGTTATATGCAATACTGATACCATTTAAAAAATCATAAAAGATATTGAATCTGGTATATTCTTTTAGATTATAAACAAAAAAGTTATTACTCCGTATAATTTTAAGGAAAAAAAAAGAATTGGGTTGCCAAATGACAAGCATGAACGTGAGGGGGTGATGTTCACTCTCCAAGAGGGACCCAACAAAATGGGAGTCCCAAGGTTGACATCCAAAAAGCAATAAAGCAAGCAAATAAAAGGCAAACGGAAAGAAAAATGGTGTCGGTTGTGTCCATAGTTAGTTAAATACGAGACGAGAATTAAATGAGATTTAATACGTACGCGTTTTATTCGACAACAAAAATGAAAAAACGGTCAAAAATTCGTTGAAAAATACGTTGACTTTTAAAAAACGTGTGAATAAGTATCGTATAATACAGTATATGTTACAAAAATTCGGACAAAAATATACGGGGTATTATTTTGAACATTTAAAGTATATACTTCACAAAATAAGATATATAGTAAAATGATGCATAATAACAATAGAATGAGACTGTTACAATCATTATCTTTATATGATCATCAAATAACACTCAAGTAGTCAAGTTAAACGTGTCATTTCATCTAAATGACGAATGACATATGAGAATAGTACGTTGTGTGACTGTTACGCTTACTATTGTTTATGTGTAAAAGTTTATATTGATATGCTTAATTAGAAAAACATCACAAATCCAATAGCATTTCAAGTTTTGGTCTTTTAGGAAGCTAGCCGTCATGCAATTAATTTTAATACAGAGTATTTAATAATTGCATTGTAACAATACAAAAACACGGGGTCATGAGGAAGAAGTTTTCCTCTTTGCTTTTAAGCTATTGCTGTTCTCCTATACATTTAAATGCACTAATTTAATTGTTCATTTCATGTTTCTATTTTCGTAAAATATGGAAAAAATACGTTTTATACGGGAAGTAGGAGTTTTTTTCCTTTTTAAACGGGCCGACATTTTTTCGTTTTAAACGCATTTTTTTGTTCAAAAAAATGGTCGTGTTTAAAACGCGTTTAAAACGCAAAAAAAAACTAACTAGGTGATGGAGTATATGGCCCAGGAACCCCTGATCCATAGACTCCCACTATTCTAATACAAGCCCCACGGGCCCAGGAAGCACACCAGGCCCAAGTCACTGCGCCCCAAGAGACAGGAGACCCACACAGCCCACGCAGCCGCCTTCGGTCCCCTGTCCGAAGGCCCCAAAATCTCACAGAACAACTGTTTTAGGCTTACGAAGCTGTTGGGAGAAAACAGTGAAAACACAAGCCCTCGGCACCTAGAGCCCTCAGCACCAAGAGGCCCCCGAGATGAAGAGCCTTCGGCTAATCATCTACGGCCGAAGGCATCTCCTCGACAGAATCTCCCACCCACATGCGCTGGATCAACGTACCGAGTACAATCGTCAAATCCAACCACCGCATTTAATGCTGCCACATGCGAGTGCCAGTGCCACCCCGTTGAGGTGACCCCTTGCCGCTATAAATAGCACCCCTTTCCCCATTTGTAAACCACGCTGAATACGCTCAATATCAATATACACTCTGTTGGTCCCGTTTGTAATGGGAACAGTCTAGAGGGGGGGGTAAATAGACTATTCAGGAATTTAAACTTTTCTCTAAGTCACAACTGACTTATCAGAGATGGTCGAATTCTGGTGACAGAGAAGATCAAGTTCTGATGGCAGAACTGGACCTGGCAGCGGATTGGTTTCTATCCGGGTAGCCTCAGAAAACACTAAGGCAAATTCCTTTCTGATAACTCTTGAGGAAGATCTGCTGAACACAGAGTCCAACCTTTTGAGTTACACAGTCAAGTACTTAAGTGCAGAAATAAGGTGAGTAAAGTAAATGACACCGGGGATTTTTATAGTGGTTCAAGGAACAACTTGTTCCTCTAGTCCACTGTTCCACTAAGCTTGCAAAAACAACAGTTTACAACGCCTTAGTCCCTAGAACTTAAGAAGCTCTCCACGTCTTCTTCAAGCCTAGGTACCACCCGGGATGCAGTCCTGCTTCCTGATGGCTAGTCTCGTTTCACTGAGTCTCTTGGAAGTATCACCACTTCACTTACTCCAGTTAGTTTGAGACGCCCCTTCTTTTTCAAGAAGTGTTTGATTCAAGATCAGTTTTCTCCAACGTTGCTTCTTCACAAAGGATGTGTAGATGAAGTTTCGAAGTGTTGAAGAACTGAGGAACTTTGCTACTTGTTAGTCGGATGAGGGATAAGAAAGTATATCTTCTAACTTGAGCTTTTCTTGTTGAGGTAAGTGAGTCTTTGATCTCAAGAAAGCTTGGAGGTATTTGGTTCAGAGTAAAAAATGATCTGAGCAAGTTCGTATAGCAAAAGTTACAGCAAAGTTATCCTGGTAGTTCTTCAGAGTGTATCTTATATACTGGGAGCAGTCTTCCCGTTGGAGTGTAGAAGACAGCTTCATTAAATGCTTGTACTGTTGACTTGACCGGTTGGACCTTCGACTTACTATTTTGGGGGCGCGAAGATACTCGCATGGTCAATCATCAGCTTTAAATATATCTTCGTACGTATAGCATTAATTGAGCATTTAATGCGTGTACAGTACCATCTTCCCGTCGAAAGGTTCTTAGCCGTTAGAGGATTTCCCGTTAGTTTAACGACCGTTGGTACGTGCCTTCGAGTTCTGCTAGGTAAGAGCTTGTCTGATGAGGTTTTCTGATCAGAACTCTGATGGTAGCTTCTGATGCCAACTCTGGTATCCGACTCTGATGGCTTCTCTGGAGAGCAACTTTGGGAGCAACTCTGAAAGAAGTTCTGATAAGGAAGACCAAGAGGGTTTCTGGCATGTCGACTATTCTAGTACTTACAA